TCTAAATTGCTGTGAATTCTGGTTTGGGTAAGTTTGTGGTTTCTAAAACCTTAGTGCTGACGAAATTAATTTGTTCTATTTATGCCTCGTCACTATGTTTTAAAAGGCTAGCATGCATTCGTTCATTCTTAGCTTTTAATTATTGTCTAATTGCTATTAACTCTGACATGACAAGTTTGATGTGGAATTGTTGCATGTTCATATTTTTAATACTTGACAATCTTTGTAATTACAGACTTTTCCTTAAAATTTGACTTAAATGCCCTGGCTGCAATTTAAAATCCTTTCTTTTTTTTTTTTTTCCCCCCAGTAGCATGAATGTTTTTTTGTAATAAGAAAACTTAAAAATATCTAAAATCTAATGTATTCGTTTTTGTTGTGCTCTATATCTTAACTGACCAAACACGGTTTATCATGTTTTAATGCCTTTTAATATGATGAAATATGTATTTCTAAACTACAGATTATGCCATTTTTTAACTGACAATTCATCCACACCAAGGTGTTTACAAACATATTAGTTATCTAATTTTTAATAATAATTTAGGCTAGCATACTTACTTTTTGGAGGTAGGCAAGCCTACAGTTATTCATTAACTGTTGATTACAAAAAAAAAACAGATTTCTTTTAGGTCCACTCTGAAAAATGTAAATACCCACTTGGATTGCAAAGGAAAAAAAAAATTGGTAATACTTCAAGGTTTTTCCTGTAGTTTTTAGTTTTGCTTAACATTTCTTAACTTGAAGCAGAGAAGGCGATGGGTTAATTTAATTTCCCACTTCCACTGTTAACCTGCTACCCAGGGATGGGTTAACATTCCTCTTTGAAGTGTTTAAACATTTCCTAATCCCATTTTCTCTCCTGTTTGCTTGGAAAACAAAGCAGGATCCAGGATCGAAGAGAAATTGCTGGTTTAGTCGGTTGTCTTAAAAAAACAACTGTCCTATGCGCTCAAAGCCAATATTTACTTCTCAAACACTCTGCGCACAGCCCGTGGACTTATTTTTCAGTCTGCTTTTATCAGCGTATCGCGTTACATAAAATTCTCAAAATAGCAGTCCTTTTGCAAGAAAGTGGCATATTTGCTGAATTGCACATGTAGGAAATAATATTAATTTGCAGATGACCACGTGGCTGCCTTATTTACAAGAAGCGTTGGTTGCTTCTAATTAATGGCATTAAACGTCTCTGTCCTTGGATCTACAGCAGACCATATAGTGCCTGAGTGGAGGACGAACTTCTCCTCTTCCTCTCCCTGTAGTGCAACTATGAAGGTTTTTAGTGAAAAAGAAGATCTGCCCTATATCTTACTGCTGTAGCAGCGTGTCTGCCCGTCGTGGAAAGACTTTTTTTTTTTTTAATAATCCATTTTTTAATGGATTTGTTTGATTTACGGAGAAATTTACTGGAAAAGGATCATCAGAGAAATCGTTTAGTAGTGTATTTGGAGGAAAAGGGAAAGGGTTAGGTGGGAATTCAAAGGGGCATGGGAGAAAAGTGAGGTTCTTGGGGTTCAGGACAGAGGACACAGGACACCAACTTCCCAGCCCACCGTGCTCCCAAAAGGACCGACACCGGTGTGCTCCCTGCATCCCAGCCCACTCACCCCACCTTAGGAAGGGGATGCCCACTGGACTTTGGATCTTGTTAATCATTGCTACAGAATGGTGGCATAAGGGCGGAAAACTTTTCGCTCCCCTTTTTATTCTCCCTCCAGTTCCTGGCACTTCCAAGGACCTGTAGCTTCTGCAGCAGAGCAAAGCTGGGTTTTGGGTACCAGACAGGGAAGTTCTACCTCCTGTCCCCCTGAATGGCCAAAGATCCTGCAACGATGGCTGCTTGACACCCCTCCAAGCTGGGAGGGCAGGTAAACACATGAGGCAGCAAGTAGAGGGAGATGGGAGGTTGGTCCATTAGCAGGAATTTAGCCCTAGAGCTCCTTAAATGCCCTACGAGCCTGCAGTCCCCCATCCTCATAACCTGCTGTTGAGGTAGGGTCCCCGTGAGGAAGGACCGAAGAGTATCCGGGTGGGTTGTCCCACAATACACATCCAATATCCCGAACATCCCCTGATGTAGGGGAAATGGGGTGACTGGGCTCCTGTTGGGACTCGCTATGAGGGGAAGAGGTTTCTTAGCTTGGAGTCAACACCCTTAAGCCCATCTCTTTAAACCTTGTCATAGGAGTTGGTTGCTCCAAGCCTCCCTAAGTGGTCAAAATTCCACTTTGTTCCACTTGAATCTTGAGAGAAATGAATGAACGAATAAATGAATGAAAAAGGAAGAGAGAAAGAAAGAGAGGAAGAGTAGAATGAAGGAGGGAAGGAAGGAAAAGAGGTAAGGGAGAAAGAGGGAGGGAAGAAGGGAGGGGGGAAGGAAAGAACTCAGGTGAATTTTAGAAGATTCAGTCTAAATTCAGTTCCTGGAAAAACATTGAGCACAAAGCCAATGCTTCTATTTGTAGCCACCTAGAAGATAACATGCACAGTGTTATGAACGAACACAGGTTTGTTGGGATTAACTATCAAATGACTAATTGACTATACAAATACAAACCAGGAATTACTGGCCAGGCTCTCCACAAGCGGGAAGAACCTAAGGATCAGTATCAAAGCACAACAGACTGTGGCTCAACAACCTGTGGCTATTGCAAAAAAAGCAAACCACACCTGAGACTTCTGGAACAAGGAGTCCCTCCATGTACGAGATGTCTGTGTGACCGTCGTCTTTTCCCAGGACTGCTGAGGTCTCTGCTGCAAATCAGTGGCTGAGTGTGTGCATCAGCTTTAAAGAAGGGTGTTAGCCAACTGTTGGCCTGCTGGAGACTGGCCAGAAGGTAGGCAGTAACAGCTGTCTAAGCATAGAAAACAGGACAGAGATGGAGAAATTGAAAATGTCCTTAATGAGCAAAACTGAAAACTAAGCAAACAGATGAGAACAGTCTTCAAATGCTAAGATACAGAGCTCATCTGTATTGTCTCCTATGAGGACAGGCTGAGAGAGTTGGGATTGTTCAGCCAGGAGAAGAGATGACTCCGGGAAGACCTTATTGTGGCCTTTCAATACTTCAAGGGAGCTTGTAAGAAAAATGGGGATGAACTTTTTAGCAAGGCCTGTTGGTTTAAACCTAATGGTTTTAAACTAAAAGAGGGTAGATTCAGAGTAGATATAAGGAAGAATTCTTTTATGATGATGGCAGTGAAACACCGGCACGGTTGCCCAGAGAGGTGGGAGGTGCCCCATCCCTGGAACCATTCAAGATCAGGTTGGACGGGGCTCTAGCAACCTGATCTGGTTGAAGATGTCCCCGCTCACTGCAGGGGGCTTGGACTAGTTGACCTTTAAAGGTCCCTTCCAACCCAGACTGTTCTATGATTCTGTGATTCATCTGCTCTCTGCTGGAGGCAATGCTCTCCTCCACCACACACAGCTTTGATACTGAATTTAATATGGACCTGACTTAAACTTGGACTGATGCATGTCTTTGAGATGACCATGGTCGTCGGTAGCCTGAGGTTTGTATTTATTCAGGCCTGCTTTTCTGGCCCATCACCTTCACCTTTCATCTGCTGGACCACTGTTGCCAAGAACAGACTTGCTACCCCTACCCTCATTCGCCTGACCTGTGAATTGTCACCTGCTCCTACCCTCCATTTCTGCCAGAGATATTCTCTCCTTGTCTGTCATCTCCAGAGGGTATCTTCACACTCTTCATCATGATGGGGAAGACAAAGGAGGCATTGCAAGTATTCCCTGGGATGTACAGTCTAAGCAGATGAGTGCCTCAAATCTGTGTAAACTCTTATCTGTCCAACACACACTCCCTGGAATGGAAGATATTCCTGCGTGTCTTCAGTGGTAAAGCATATTTTCTGGATGTTCAGCTGAGCTATTTTGCACTTGCCTCTGAGCTTCCTAGAGATGATGCTGAGCAATAGTCCTGTGGGCCAGCCTTGCCCAGATACCCAGGGCAAATGCAAAGAAGGGGTCGAGGATTTTGCTCAGTGGAGGAGGGTGCGGTGCAATTCTCCTAGCATCACATCGCCTTCCCTTCCGGATATCTGCCTCCTCAGCCAGCCCTGGGACATCTCCCATCTTAGACATCTCCAGTATGGGTGTCTGAGTCCAACACCTCACTGCAACTGCCTCCTAGGAATGCTTAATGATCTCTGCTGAGCATAGAAGATATCTAGATGCATTTTCCAGATAGAGAAGTTGACACAAGGTAGAACCCACCCACGACAGCAGCAGCATCATACTCCTGCTCAGCCGTGTGACTATCTGTGTGATTCAATCTCATAGGGGACCTGGGAGCCTGACCGTCCTGTCCAGGGACAGAGCATCCTGCTGCTTGCACATCTGGCTTTGTCAAGATCAGGAGGACTTCTCACACCAACAGAAAATTTAACTGGATTGTGAACACGCACAAACCGTGCAACCAAATTTCACGAAGACTTCCCGTCTCTTGGGACAAACATGGGAGAAAAACTGGAAAAAAATTCCACTTTTGGAAGATGCTGCTTTCAGCTGTGGGGAAAGGTTTCTTAAATCATCTTGTGCTGCATTAGCGGTATGGGATCATACTCATTTTCCCAGCTAAGCCTGGGCACTGGTGTCCTATTCCTGTGGCTGCCTGAAGCCAGTCTGGAAGGCAACTAACTTGCAAAACCCTGTCTCCCCCCATCCCCACCACTGATGGTCCAGAACCGGCTGTCCTGAGAGGACTTGTTTGCTCAGTCGATTCCCGAAACAGCCCAGTTTCACAATCCCACAGCTTACGTGATGCTCATGGCACAAGAGTCCCTTCCTGGCAGAGGCTTGGCTTTTCGTACTTGCTGAGAACCTGCCACGGAGCGCAGAGGGTGGATTTTGGGGTGGAGAGGAGGAGCCATGACAAGGGGGACCTCTCAAATAGCCAGTCCCTTGGGTGTCTGTCTGGCCTTCTCCCTGCCCTGCTCTCCTGTGGAGACAACGAGCACCCAGTATCTTTGCTGCCAACATGAGGCTTGTCCTCCTGGCATGTCTCTGGGGTAAGTGAGGTGGGATTTTTTTTCTCTTTTCTTTTGGCTTGGCATCTCTTTGGCAATGGTTCTCCTCCTCCACTATTGCTTTTTCTACAGCCCAGGGCACAAAGCAAATGGGACACTTCAAGGAGCTGAAATGCTGTCAGTGGTATTTGATCCATAACTGACAGCTGAGTGTGGACACTCAGATCCCCAGATATCAGTAGACAGCTGCTGCTGGACAGCTGGATGCTGTCCCATCTTGACACCAATCAATACCTAGACACCTTGAGAGGTGTCTCATTCGGGAGCTGAATCCAAGCCCTTGTGAGCAAAGACAACAGCACACAAAGTGGGATTCCCTGCCCTTGTTTCTCTGCTGTGGGTTCCTACCCTGTGTGGGTTCATAGAATCGCAGAGTGGTTTGGGTTGGAAGGGACCTTTAAAGGCCATCTCGTCCAAACCCCTGCAGTGAGCAGGGACATCTTCAGCTCGATCAGGTTGCTCAGAGCCCTGTCCAGCCTGACCTTGAATGTTTCCAGGGATGGGGCATCTTCCACCTCTCTGGGCAACCTGTTCCAGTGTTTCACCATCCTCATCGTAAAAAAATTCTTCCTTAGATCTTCCTTTGTTCCCATGCGTCAGGGATAAGACCAGACCTTGTGGCAAAGTGTAGAGGCTCTGAGTGTGCTCGGTGGCTACATTACGTGGGTAGGCACTTCAGACTCCCAAGATGATAAGTTATCTGAATGCAACTGGAATTTACAGAGAACGGGGATAACCATTAAGCATCTCATCCCATAAACCTTTAAAGTAGCTAAAAAAAAAAAAAAAGGCAGATGGAAATCTTGCCTGGGCAATAATGCTAATGCTTGTCCTGGTGTCAGCAGTTCTGCCCTTGCCTGAAGCTGTTAGTCAATGCTTGGGATCTTGCCAGGCTGCTGCATTTAGAAGCAGAAATTGTTTGTGTTGAGCTCTTCTTCGCTGTTGACCTTCTACGGTGGGCACAAAGTCCCCTTCTCCTGAGTTTCCAGGAAAAAGAGATCCTGGCAAGTTTTCACTCACACTTTCCTTCCCAGGGTTTGCCTTGACCTCTAGTTAATCCTCAGGGAAATGTGCTGAATGGGAATAGCCTCTTTCCACAAGTCTCCAGATGCATTCCACCTTGAAGACACTTCTTTGCACAACGCCATTAGCAGACCCATAGCTGTTCCTGTCGTGTTTTCATTGCTGCTATTAATGTCTGCAGGACTGAGAGCAATCCTGGGGTTAATTTTGTCTGGTGTCTGCCTGAAGTCCAGAGATGGCAATGCTTCTTCGTGGTCTGGCCCTGACCAAAAGGAAAAAATAGAAATACCATGCTGCTTGCCTGGCTGTCTCTAGGCAGAGACAAGCACCTCCAACCCCAATTTGACCATCTGCTCTGAACACCAACCCTAGGGTGAGACTGGTATCACCCATGACTCAGCTCTTTCCACTGCCTGTCACAGGAGCCTAGAGAATCGAATTGAATCAAATTAAATCTAATCTGATCTAATCTAATCTAATCTCTCTGGATACTGGCTTTCAGGTGACTGAATCTGGACAAGAGGAATCCCAACTGCTCTGTTATAGTATTTTCACATTATCCGCCCAAGCCAATTTTATTTTTCTTCCTAGTAGACTTTTTTTTTTTTAGGTTTTCTCTCCTTGCCTGATCTCTTTATCAAGAAAGTCCCACAAACACGCGCTAGGATAGGCAAAGCCCAGTGACGGTTGGGTTTAGGAGACGGAGAACAATGATGGGCTCTAACAGAGCTCACAGAGTCTTGCCTCTCGCCCTTGTCTCTCGTTTTGCTGTTCAGAACCTCTGTGCTCTGCAGAGCTCCTGAAACTCGGACTAACACCCTGTATTTCTTCTATTTCAGCTTCCCTCGCAGGAGTCCTGCTGGCAGGTCAGTATTTGTAGTAGAGAGCGGAGCACGAGTCAGCACACACAGCTGTCATAAAATGTCATACAGAATGATACTATGTCTGATCTGGAGATTTAAATGTGCTGCTCAGGGCCAAGAGACCTTGGTCTGAAACCTGTTTCCGTGGCCAATGATCTTCTGTCTCTAAACCACATGCTCCTGGTTAGCCGATGGAGAAGATCTGACGGTACCTCCTGTATGCTCTGTGAGGTGCAGCTGTTACCTCCTGGAGACCTCTGGGTGAAAAGAGCAATACCGACCCAAAACATTGACAAAACAGCTGCTCGTTTTAGCAAAGTTAAACCAGAAGTTGGGATACCCTTAGTGCTGGGGTCTGATCTCCATGAGATGGAGGAATGCCTGGTGTCCCCTGGGCTCCATGAGCCGATGTGGAGGTGCTTGAGGGTTTCAGACCCTGGTACTTTTCAGTCCCTGAATTTCTCCCTCTACAGCACCCCAGATCCATGCAAAGGGACGACGGTACCCGGAGGGATTTTATTCTTGATATTGGGGTGGCACACACTGTTGTGATTGGAGATGTGGCAACTGGAGCCAAGTTTTGAGAGAGATTGTGTGTCCTGGGGGGTTCAACAGCAGGAACAGGACTGAGTAGGTGCTTTCCACTCCTGAGGTCTGACTGTACATCCACAACAGCACCCAGCAATCACTGCCAATAGCTGAGCAAACCCAACCCTTCCCTTGAGGAGCGGGTAGAAATGTCTCAATTCTCTCCTCCCTGCTTCCAGTCCTTGTAGCAGCATTTGCTGGGAGACACTGGACTTAACTATGGGGAAACCTACCCAGAACCTGAATGCTGGGGTAGGTTTGGGAGGGGGCTACACCTGCCCCTTTACAGCTGAAAATGAACCCTGTGATTTGTATCTTAAAACAGACTTGTCCTACAAACACCTGCAGCTTCTGGCCGTTCCCAGCTCAAAACCCAGTTCCCAACCACAAAAGTTTTGGGATGCTAGAATACCCTGGGCTTTTCTTCCTTCTGGTTTGGCAATAAAGACAGCCTCACTGGGGAGGAGGAGCCCTCTTTCTCATTCTCTGCCTTCGCCCTGGGGTGTCTGTTCTCTCCAGATGTAGACACAACCAAACCTGAGGTCCGCTTGGTGGATGGTGCCAATCAGTGCTCTGGGAGAGTCGAGGTGCTTCACAACGACGTCTGGGGGACTGTCTGTGATGACCAGTGGGATTTACGGGAGGCGAGGGTTGTGTGCCGGCAGCTGGGCTGTGGGACGGCGGTATCGGCCCCTCGGGAGTCTAAATACGGGGAAGGGAAAGGCCAAATCTGGCTGAGCGATGTGAACTGCAAAGGAACGGAAGCATCCCTTGCCGAATGCGAGGCGAAGCCATGGGGAGAGAACGCCTGCAACCATGTGGAAGATGCCAGCGTGGAGTGCTCAGGTAACCCTCGAGTGTTTTCTGCGTTGTGCCACATTGGCCCTTCTGCCTGAAATAGGCCAGGGTGCAGTTTCTGACCCATCCAGGTAGCAGATCAGGGATGCAGGATGACTTTGTTTAGCTCCAACTTCCTACTCCACGTGACCCAGAGAAGTTGCATCACAACTCCTGGACCCGGAACAACCTGCAGAGCTGGGAGTGGACACAGATAGTGCACTCGTTCCCCTGACGGTCTCCATCCTGGCACTATTTTCCCTTCAACTTTTCTTGTCAAGCCAGAAGTTAGGAAGGTAGCCTTTGACAGGCGTTTGGGCTGAGCAGAGACAGTTTTGTCACATCATGGGAGGTTCTTCTTTCTCCAGGTGATCAAGGGCACAGAGACTTGTCCCAAAACTTCTCCCTTGTTTGTTTTTGGCAGGAACGGAAATACCCGAGCCAGGGCCAATCCGGCTGGTGGGAGGCCCGAACCGATGTGCCGGGAGGGTTGAGGTGCTTCACGAAGAACAGTGGGGCAGTGTATGCCATGATGACTGGGATCTAAATGATGCCCAAGTTGTGTGCAAGCAACTGGGCTGTGGGGATGCGGTGCTGGCACCCATCGGAGCCAAATTTGGACGAGGATATGACACCATCTGGCTGGATGATGTGAACTGCACAGGGGTGGAAGCTGCTCTCTCTGAGTGCCCAGCGAGGCCATGGGGGGACCACAATTGTTACCATGGGGAAGATGCCAGTGCAGTTTGTTCAGGTAATCCTTTCGTTCTCCTGCTTTTGCCTGCCATGCGTTAGGGTGTCCTCACAGTCAATGTGGGCACAACCTTGGACAGGAACAAGGGCTTCCTACAGAGCACTCTCCTACTGAGCTGGTGCTGGTGGACCTGCTGGTGTCCTGGGGTCCTTACACCATGGAAGAGGTCTTCAGTCTGGGAAGTTCTATCCTCTTTGCTCACTGAGGTGCTCTGTGGTTGCTTTTCTTCAGCTCAGGCTTGAGGTTGACTGCCGTTGTACTTCTTGCTTGGACAGTTGCATGTTGTATGTGGAGAAAGCTGTGGAGGACAGGCTGCTGTGTGCAGGGCAGGTCAGGGATACTCGGGGAAGAGGGGGGACATGCATGCACCAATGCACAGTCTGAGCATGCCCTCTCTGGATGTGTCTGCAGACTCGGGGATCACCGTCTCCACTTCAGTCCGCCTGGTGGGTGGCCCCAACCGCTGCTCTGGGAGAGTCGAAGTGCTTCACAAGGATGTCTGGGGGACTGTCTGTGATGATCAGTGGGATTTACGGGAGGCAAAGGTTGTGTGCCGGCAGCTGGGCTGTGGGACGGCGCTATCAGCCCTTCCAGAGTCGAAATATGGGGAAGGGAAGGGCAAGATCTGGCTGAGCAATGTGAACTGCACTGGGACAGAAGCGTCCCTCACTGAATGTGAGGCAAAGCCATGGGGAGACAACATCTGCAACCATGTGGAAGATGCCAGCGTGGAGTGCTCAGGTAACCCCTGCCTCCATCCCCTATCCTACACGTGCTGGGCAGTAGGATGGGCAGATCCCACCACACAGATGACCCCTGCCTGAATCAGGGCTGGTCCCAAGCCCCAGTGCAGCTCTGCGGATGGCTGCTGGTGGGAACAGGAGAGGGATGCATCTGATTAACTCATCCCATCACTGAGTGCAGTGCTTGCCCAGTGACCCAGGGAGGACACATGGATGAGGCTGACCCAGGGGCAGCATTTAATCCTCCAGCAGGTTGATTAGCATCAGCAGATTTCTTGAAGCAGGCAAAGTAGAGCCTGCAGCCATCCGTGAAGACCACGAAAGCTTCCTCCTGCCCTTTTCCCACTGTCCCTGGCTTTTCTGTCTTCCTTCCCACCCCAGAGAAGCCCAGCCGTTGCTGGTGTGCTCAGAGACACCTCAGCCTCTACTGAGCAGGCAAGCTTTCCATAGGTGGTGAGATATGTAGGAAGCTCCATTAACATTTATTTTCGGTGCAGAGGTGGACATTCCTGAGGAGGGGCCGGTCCGTCTTGTGAATGGCCCAAACAAGTGTGCTGGGAGAGTTGAGGTGCTCCACGAGAACCGGTGGGGCAGTGTGTGTGACGACCACTGGGACATGAAGGATGCAAAAGTGGTGTGCAAGCAGGTGGGCTGCGGATCACCACTGTCGGCTCTGGGAGGTGCCCGCTATGGGCGAGGGCCGGACATCATCTGGCTGGATGATGTCGAATGCAACGGGACAGAAAAGAGCATCTTTGACTGTCAGTCCAGGCCATGGGGCGAACACAACTGCTATCATGGAGAGGATGCTGATGTTGTTTGTGCAGGTAACAATCCATCATCGTGGCATCTGAAGTGATGTGGGGACAGGGTCCAACACTTCTAGCAGAGACAGCAGGCTGAACTTCAGGGTACAGAAGGGGAATCACAGGGCAGGAAGGCTCCCCCCAGTTCGGGTTAATGCTGGTGGAGGCAGGGAAATGGATACAGCAGGGAGCCATAAGAAATATAGAGAATCTGTTTAGGATAGATGTGCTGGGAACAGCTGGTGGGAGAGGACAAAGCAGAGGTGGTCTGTTACCGCTGACAGTCTGACTATGGGATAGATCCTGCTGGGGAGATGCTGACCAGGGGGGTTTGTATAGGGCAAGGCTCCTAAAGGACAGAAAGAGGGAAGGTTGGAGAGTTTCTGGGATGAGCATCTGCGGGGGCAACAGTGTCTGGGGTGAGACGTACATCATCAATACTCAGTAAATATCTGAGTTGAACTCTCTGAAGCTCCTGGAAGCTGAGTTCCTGACTTCTCATGCCCTGTTTCTTGGGAGAGAAGCTTGGACAGGCCCTGCATGGATGAAGGGAAGAATGCCTGGGGGTCTTTGGCTGGTTTCATTATGGAGGAGCAGGGCTGTAGGGGCTTGGATTTCACCTGGGTGCTGCACAGGGTCATGCTATAAGGACCATGTGCTGCTGCAGTCCTCTGGATCAAGCAGGGCATTGTGCATCAGGATCAGAGTCTGCATCTGCACTTCATGCAGTCCTGTCCTGGCTCCCAGGTGTTGGGTTCCTGATAGCCCCAAATATATGGGTATAACCCAATCTGCAGACCTTCTTCAGGAGCAGAGTCCTTGTCACTTCTAGCAGGCAATTCTGGTGTCAGAGAGTTCCTGGGAGCAGATTTTGCTTTACCTTGCTCCCTTTCTCTGCAGTTAACAAGAACCTGGAGGAGTCAGAAGCACCGTGAGTGCCCAACTGGCCCCACTGGACCATGCTTACCCTGCCACAGGAAGATGGGCCAGCAAGATTCAGCTGAGAAGGCGAAGATCAGGGATGTTGCAGAACCATCAGTGTGCCATAACGGGATGCAGAGTTTGGCAGAACCACTCTCTCTCATCCTTTGAAGGATCTACAAACTTGGTTACAACTGCACTGATGGAAAACCCTGCTCAACGCATTATTCCCGCTGAAAAGCAAACATCACAAAGTATCAGTAAAGTTCCCCTAAAACTGAACATCTGGCTGTCTCATAAATTTCTCGTGGACCTCTGCTGCCTGAGCACATATCTGGCAGGGAGCTGTTGGTCCAATGTGTTGAATATTTATACCAATGGCATGGCAGCGTACCATTTCTCAGGTCTGCAGGGAAACATTTGCCTCCACTGACACTCAGGCCAGTAACAAGGGCAGTCCTAAAAGCCTTGGGATGTGAACACTGCACAACACAAGCTTATCTCTGAACCTTCATCTGTCCTTCCTTGTGGGGGAACTGCCCCCCATAGGGAACAATTCACCCCTTTTCCTCCTTCATTTTTCTCACAGACCAAAGCTAGCACTTTACAAGTGCATAAACTCCCATTTCAGTGATGTCCAATCAAGACTTAACCTCCAACTCAGATTTTTTTTTTGCATGATGTGTTGCTTTCCAAAAAGCAACGTGCTTTGTGCCTGGCAGCACAGCACAAATGCTTTAATCCCAGCAAAGCAAACAGCAAAGGTCTTCAGCTCAATATTGACATTGCGTGTCTCCAAGTTAGTTGGCCAACTCAAACTAGTTTTATGGGAAAGACAGATGTTTGGGCTTCTCCCCCCACCTCCCCCCAGACCAGTTCACCCCTTTCCAAAGCAGGTCCAAAGCAGCTCATATCATCATGCTTTTGGGAGGTGCCCTAGTTTAGTGTGGGTCTGGGGAGGGCAGAAATGAGATGAAGCTGGTGGCGATCTGACTACAACACAGAGCATCACACAGACTCGCAGGAACAGGAAGTTCAGGTACATGTCTACTTTTTTTAAAAAAAAAAAAAACAAACAACAAACCAGAAGTTGAGAAGAGGCACAGAAATCATTTAATGCTTGGAGAGTATGTCTCAGAGGGCCACTAGGTTCAGTCTGTCTTACTTATGAGAGGACAAGCTATGTGAGGTCTTCACTGCAGTAACTGAACACTTCCAGGGTAAAGGTGCCGGCTACCCAAGGCTGTCCAAGCCCATACAGCAAGAGCCAAATGTTTATATACTGTACCCTTACCATCAGCACAAGGCAGCTTTTATGGATTAGAGGCACTATCAGCAGAACAGGATGAACTGGCATGGAGACTGTATGACGTGTTGGGCAGGGAAGGCATGCTAATGTGAGATGTTGCAAGGATTCAAGCTGACTTCAAGTGCCCAACAGCGTTCTCCAAATATTCCCTCCCCCCCTGAGAGAAGATACCTGGAAACTCGTCTTGTGGCAGGAATTGTGGCCAGGGGGACCATGTGCAGGCGTCCACAGACATACCCAAATTAGACACAGTATCACCCAAAAGTCCTATAGTCAGGGGAGTGAGAGGCATCTCAGCTGATTCAAAGGGTAGCTGGGCTGTCTTGCCCCATGCAATCGGCTGTCTCTCTTCATTAGCTGCATAGGTTCCCAGGGCAAAGATGCCCCTGATTTGGGCACATCAGTGTGGTGTTTGCATTTGAGTCTAGTAGAGCTGAGTCTCAGTTGTTTGATTCTGTACTTCATGCTCTTTGGAATTCAGAAATCACTTTTGTTTGGGTTAAATGAATGTCGTACTCATGTTGGCTGGCAATATCATCTCTCTTCTCCACTCTGGAACATCTGTGAGGTTTACATCCCATCTGAAAGGGAATGTATGCAAACAGGACCTGTAAAAGCAGCTTGCTTTAGCCTGAGAAGCCACTGAAAGTTACTGGTGTGCATATATTTATTGATACTTAAAAAAAATGCAAGTAGGAGAAATGTCACATGGAAGGATGGGAATCATCCCTCAAAACACCAAGCTCCAACTCCACACCTCTAACATCACCCAGTGGTTAGACTGACAAAGGACAAAGAACCACCAGCCCTAACATCCAGCCTCGATGCTTAGTATCAACTAATGCCTAGTAGGACGGGACATGGATGAAGGTTACCTGAGCATATGATGCCTGCATCTTCTCCATGATTACAGTTATGGATTCCCCAAGGCCTCGCTGCACACTGCGAGAGGGCTGATTCTATACCAGAGCATTTCACATCATCCAGCCAGATACGGCCAAAACCTTGCCCAAAATAAGCTGAACCTGGGGCAGATATGGCTGTCCCACAGCCCAGCTGCTGGCACACCACTGCAGCATCGCTCAAGTCCCAGCTGTCATCGCAGATTGTCCCCCACTGCTGGCTGTGAAGCACCTCGACTCTGCCAGCACAACGAGTGGGGCCATTCACCAGCCGGAGAGGAGGGACTTCTGGAGTACCTGCACAAAAAGAATCATAGAATCATAAAATCACAGAATGGTTTGGAATGGAAGGGATCTTAAAGACCATCTCATTCCTATCCCTCTGCCATGGGCAGGGACACCTTCCACCAGACCAGGTTGCTCAAAGCCGCATCCAACCTGGCCTTGAACACTTCGAGGGATGGGACATCCACAGCTTCTCTGGGCAACCTCTGCCACTGCCTCACCACCCTCACCAGGAAGAATTTCTTCCTTATATCTAATCTAAATCTTCCCTCTTCCAGTTTAAAGCCCTTGCCCCTTGTCCTGTCACTCCATGCCCTTGCAAAAAGTCCCACCCCAGCTTTCTTGCAGGCCCCTTTAGGTACCGGAAGGCTGCTCTAAGGTCTCTTCTCCAGGCTGAACAACCCCAACTCTCTCAGCCTGTCCTCACAGGAGAGGTGCTCCAGCCCTCGGATCATCTCCGTGGCCTCCTCTGGACTCACTCCAACAGGTCCATGTCCTTCGTGTGCTGAGGACCCCAGAGCTGAAGGCAGTACTGCAGGGGGGTCTCACCAGAGCGTAGCAGAGGGGCAGAATCCCCTCCCTCGACCTGCTGGTCACTCTGCTTGGGATGCAGCCCAGGATATGGCTGGCTTTCTGGGCTGCAAGCACACATTGCTGGGTCATGTTGAGCTTCTTGTAAACCAACAAAAGCAACCAATGCACACCAATACACTGCACCTCATCCCTGCTGACACATTGTAGGGGACAAGTGCCAACCAGGTTGTCCCATAGATGAAGAACAGATGGCTAAAGAGGACATTTTGGGTGTCCATTCAGGATTACCCCAAAGTCTGTGTGGTTCTGCACTGCCCACAGACTGGTAGAAATGTCCCAGTTAGGACTGGGAGTGGTATTTCAGTCTCCCAGCCACTAAGACATGCTAATGCATCCCTTCCAAGCAGGCATGTTTCAGATGGTTTATTTGAATTGCCGCCAAAGCTAAGGTGACACAGGACGCTGTGCCTGCTCTGAATAAATACCAATCTGCTGGGCCTAGCTCTGAAATCAAAATCTAATGTTGTCTAGAGATGAAACCCATACAAAGGGAGCAATTCAAGAGTCTCCAATTAGGTGTCTTTTCCCATTTGAGGTGTGTTGGGGCATCCTTGCCATCCTCCAGGTGTCATGTTGGAAGGGTGTGCGTCTCATAGCTCCAGGATCATATCAGCCAGCCCCACGGAGATGTCTGATTACTGTTAGGTGTCTTATATAGCATTAGGTACCTATGTCCAGGAACATGATGCATGCTCAAATAAAGTGGGTCACATACGTGAAGCTTTGGAGTGTCCATCAGTGAACAAACTGTCCAATGCCCATATTCCTGAAACTTTCTTTTGGCCTTACACATTTTACTCCAGTTACTGCAATATTCACCATATGTGTTCCGGATAATTTGCTGGGAGAAAGCATGTTATGGTAATGTATATTAATAGACATTTAAACTTCCTTGAAAAGTCTCATGGCTGGTAAAACCAGCTGAATTGGACAATAAAGGGTCTTAAAAAGCATCAGCCAACACTCTCCTGCACTGAAGCAGTGTGCCAAATAAAATTAGTCAAAAGAGGAGGTTAAAATTAAGTTTTTAACAAAAGATCTGTCCTGTCCATAGCTGGAAACACAGCACCGAATGACAGCATTTCAACTAGCTCAGCTGCAGGCATGTACTTTGCTACGTTCATAGTAGGGAGATGACTCCTCTTGAAAGAGCATTGAGTTCTCCTGAAGTTTCCCAAAGCTTTTTATGGAAGGAAGGAGAGACTCCAGGAAAGCTCTGCTAGCTTCTGACTCTGACATCCCAGAAACGTAGAAAAGAATGGGTAAAAGTTGAGAAAACAAGATGCTGGATTTTAAAGAAAATATTTGGATTGTTTAGGATTGCTGTGAAGGATTATTAGAGTAGGTTTTAGAGCCTGGATAAAAGTCTGCTGATCTGACCTCATAGCTGACCTTGCTTTGAGCAGGAGACTGATGTAGAGAGCTCCTGTGTTCCCTTCAACCTGAATTATCCTACGAGCCTCCCAGTTGTTTTAACAAAGCAAGAGGTTTCTTCAGGACTGCAGATTGCAAGAGACACTGGAGACAAAACTGAAAAAGCACTTAGACACAAGTGCTGTAAAGACACATTCAGCGGTTTCAGATTTCTGATGTTCTCCATGAATCTTGAAAAGGGACATTTTATCGTTTCTCATGATAGCATGAAACAGACTTCCCAATCAGCCAGAGACCAAGACTTGCAGACAACACTGCTTAGTTTTACCTGTGGTCTTCATGTAAAAGTGTAGGCTCAGAGGTGACTCTGTCTGTATGACACGACAAGCCTGTACCTCAGCAG